AAAAAAAAAAAAAAAAACAAGGGAAAAGAGAGAAGAAAGAATATATATCAAGTTTTTCTTTTTTTTTTAGGTAATTGCTGCAGTATCAGTATTTTTTATTGTTATAAGCATTATATCTTTTTTGTTAAAAACTCATCCAAAATTTCGTGTTGGCGAATACGCTGTTAACGATACATCTCAGGACTACATTATTGTTAATAAAACAACTACAGAACCTCACGTTGCTTTCAGTTATGTAAGTTTCTAATACAGTCTTTCTAATATGGTCAGCTGATTAATTGAACTTTCAATATACAGTATTTTCAGCAATTCAAAGTTGCCATCTAAACATTTATTCCGACATTTAATGTTGATTTGAAGTTACATCGAAAAAAAAGAATTTCTTTTCTTTACCAAAATTCAATAATCTTTAACAACAGTCAGTAAGAAAAGAAATATTCTATTTTTTTTTCTTCCAAAACCATTCGCTAATGTATCGACAATTTGTTTTTTTTTATTTACAGGTTGAATTATTATGCAATATATGGTTTACTTTTGAAATCTTAGTCCGTTTTTTGTTTTGTCCATCTAAAATACGTTTTATTAAATCGCCGATCAACAACATCGATCTGGTAAAAACTGTCTTCTGTTCTTCATTTTTCTTTTTTTTTTTGACTTTATTTACCGCAATTCTTTATTTATTTAATTTATTTATTTTTTTTTTACTGTTTTGCTGTTTTCAAATTAATCAAAAAGAGGAAAAAACATTGGCACAAAACATTATTTGCTAATTAAAGTTTAAAAGAAAAAAAAAACTGACTGATCGTTTACAACAATTATATTACCAATTAAACAATCGGTTTTCACAACAACAGCAAAAAAAAAAGAACTTATATTTTTTTCGTTTGTTTGTTAGAAAAAATTATATACTTAAGAACAGATAAGATAATAAAAAAAAAGCTTTTTTCGTTTGCTACTCGTTTTCTTAATCATTTTTTTTTCCAAAATTATTATCAAAAATTATTTAATATTTATACGTACAAATGTGTTTAGTAAACTGCTGCAAACAAAATTAAACCAACAAAAAATAATTGCAGAAACAGTGTAATTTTTTTTTTTTTGCTCCAAAAATGATTAAATAGACATTTTGTGCTTTTTTTTTTT